TGGAGGAAAAGAAATTAACCACACAGAGCCTGAGAGTGACTCTGGAAGCCAAATTTAGAAAACAGACCTCAAAAAAGAGAAAAAAAAGAAGTTTACAAAATGTCTTTATTTAGAAAATGAGACTGTCCCACAATGTGTTTGGCTTGATTTGTGAGACTCAGTGACCACTTAAAGACCATGCACATCTCCTTAGCTAGCTACTTCTCCTGGATGTAGTCATGTCACCTGGTCCAGTGGCCATTGCTGGCCACTGAATTGGCTAACGCTGGAGGAAGTCCATCTTGTGTGGGAGGTATCTGGGAGGAGAAGCCAAGCTTTTCATGTGGGTGTTCTATCTTGCATTCAGAATGTCTATACCATTCTGTCTACTTCTGTTTTTGTTCTCAGTGATTATTATATAGTGACATGGCCTGCTGCTACCATGAACCAGTTTTTTCACAACCTTGTGGGGAGCCATGGTGGGTAGTGAACAGGACTGTCTTCCATTACTCCGTGTGGTTCTGTTCAAAAGTATGAGCTTGATCCCAAGGAAATGAAACCATTATCTTAAAGAGATATCTGTGCTCCCATATTCATTGCAGCATTATTCACAATAGTCAAGGAATGGAAACAACTTAAGTGCCCATTCATGGATGAATGGCTAATAATGGATGTGATATATACAATGAAATATCATTCAACCTTACAGAAGAGAAAATCCTGACATTTGCAACAACATGGATGAACCTGGAGGACATTATGCTAAGTGAAATAAGCCAGACAAAGAAAGACAAAGTACCGCATGGTATCATTTATATGTGGAACCTAAAAAAAAAACTCAGACTCATAGAAACAGAATAGAATGGTGGTTGCCAGGGGCTGGGGAGAGGGGTAAGAGGGAGAGGTTGTTAACAGAGGACAAACTTTCAGTTATAAAATAAATAAGCTCTTAGGATTTAATGTATAACATAGTGACTATAATTGATAACAATACATTATATAATTGAAATTTGCTAAGGGAGTAGAACTTAAGTGTTCTGACCATAAAAAAAAAGGTAAATATATGAGATGATGGATGTGTTGATTAACTCAATTGTAGGAATTGTTTCACAGTGTATATCAAATTATCACCTTCTACACTATTATTATATTATATTATATATATTATAATTTTGTCAATTATTTCTCAATAAGGCTGGAGATTTTTAAATAAATAAATAAATGAATGAATAAATAAATAAAACAAACCCCACAAAAGTGTGAGCTTGAGTTTGTGATAAATCTCAGCCCCAATCAGTAGTTTTGTGATCTTGGGAAAGTCATTTAAATTCTCTCAGTGTCTCAGTTTTCCTCGCTTTTTGGTAAAATGATGCTTACACCACTTGCTCACCAGTGTTATAAATTTCAAATAGTCTGACATTGGTGGAAGTAGTTTGAAGAGATTAGAGACCTCTCAGATGACAATAAAAGTGAGCTGAGAGATGCCTCTCACTCAGACAGGCATGGTAGTGGTGTACACAAAGCAAGCATTTCGGCAATGGGCAAGCCTGAATGGGAATCCCAACTCTGCCTATCATTTGGGCAAGTTATTAAACCTCTATAAGTCTCTTCAATTTGTAAAATGCAAAGTTGTTGGGGCATGGAAATACATACACGAAGCTCCTGACACACAATAGGCTATAAATAGATGGTAGCTATTATTATCTTTATTGTGAATTATTGAGTTATCATGAGAGTTAACAGGTTCAGAATATCAAGCTTTATTTTCTAAGACCTACATACTAATTCACTTTCATCCCCAGGAATTAGGCTGTCCTAGGAAACCAAATACTCTCCTCTTCTATACTAAATGTCTGAGGCTAATTCTGGAAACTTGCCCTCATACACATCACACCTTGAGGAAAACTAGCTAGATAAGTACCTTTCTTCCCCTTAGAAGTCTCTGCCTAAGTCCCCACCTTCTGTGGCCACAAGAATTCTAGCAGACTTGGGATCTCAAAACTTACCTTTACATTCTAAAGAGGATAAAATTATAGTTCTGAATTATAGAAATAATTCTCAGCCCTTTTAGCATGAGAATCTCATTTTAAGCTAAGAAAAGTTCAAGGAATTCTATATAATAATAGTTCTACTTTAGGTATCTTTTGATTGAGAAAATACATGATAAAAATTCAGCAACAGTAAAAATTTAGAGGATCAGCTCTTAAAATTTTTTTTGAATAGGTAGTATATGAACTTGATACACATTCATAAGGCACAAAACAGAATACCATGAAAAGTATCTTTTTGCACTCCATTCCTCAGTCACCCAGTGCCCTTTCCAGAGCCAACTATTGTTTTAATTTCTGGCTGTGTCTTTTCAAAGGTAACCTATGCTCTACAAACATTCGTGTATTTATCCTTTAAAAAAAGACAAAATTGTAGCATATCTTGTCACTCTTCTTCACTTTGATTCAATCTTCTTTATTCATACTGAACTGTGTCTTGTTATAATTTAAAATGGATATGTGAAAAAGAGAGAGAGAGAATATGTATTTTTATTTATCACAGTGGCATCTACTATCAAAAAGTTGCATCACATTTTTTAATATGCAGAAAGTCTTAGTCTGCAAAACTACATACCACTTAGCAACTCTCGGCTCTTAGATTAGGAACCACTAATTAAGTAAAATATCAACAATATTGAACATTAATTTTGGCCCTTACTGTGCACCAGGCATTGTTCTAAGCACTTTACACTTATCTCACATAATCTACATCCTTCAAACTCTTCTAGTCTCTGTTTAAATGTTATCTCCTCAGAGAAGCCTTCCTTTATCCAAGAAGATCTACCCTGTCTCCTTTCCATTATTCCTTATCATTGCATCCTGTTTATGTCCTTCAGGACCCGTATCACTCTAAGTAATTTATTTACCTATTCATCTACCGGTTTACTGTTGTCTTCCCAATTCTTGAGATTTGAGAGCCGAGAGCATCAGTTTGGTTCACTGCAGTCTACCCAGTGACCAGTATTGTGCCTGGGTGCTTGGCACAGAGGAGTCATTCAACTGGATGTTTATTGCATATGTACATAATAAGCAAAAAACAACTTTATGAGGTAGACTCTTATTACCTCCATTATATGGATGAGGAAACTGAGGCCTAGAGGGTGAAATAGACTCGTCCCAAAGTTAGTAAGTTACAAAATTTATTTGAAACCCAGCTCTGCTTGACCCCGGGGCACAAGCTCCATCCCATTATTTTGGTCTCAGAAACAGTAGATTGAGTACAGTCTTGGCTGTGTGTGATCTTGAGAAAAAGTTCCTTTTTCTCCTTGAGACTGTTTCTTCCACTGAAAAGTGAGAGGGCAGAGTTAGCAATCTTCCTTATAGTGATGGGGGACCATGATGGGGCCAAAAAGATGGCCTGTGCCTTTAAGAGAGTTGATTTTCAGTTCACTGAAGATTTGCTCAGTCTTATTCTAAGCCAGGTACTGTGTTCGATGTCCCACTGGATAGAGATCCAAGGACTAATAGGACATAGTCCCCACCGTTAAGGTGGCCTGGTCTGATGGGTCTAATGTAGCCCTATTAACAGCTGCTTGAGGTACAGTATGGGTCAGTGCAGCAATAGGTATGAGGCACATGGTAACACAGAAAAGGAAAGGATTAATTCCATCATGTCTGTGGATGGTGGTGGGGATGAAAGGGAGAGATGCTGAGCCAGGCCTTGGGAAAGAATCATTTTCTAGGTGGACAATGTGGAGGTGAGGCTTCCTGGATATGAGACATTATGTGCAGAAGCACACCAAGAAACAGAGCAGTGTGCTGAGGATGGCTATAACAAGTGGTTGGATCCCAGAGCACGGAGCTGGTTAGGTCCATGAAGAGTCATATTGAAGAGCTTGGACTTCACTCCTGAGAGCAACAGCGTGGGCAAATCATGTTTGCGGTTTATTTTTAGAAAGACCACTCTGGCTGTGGTAGGACTGGAGGAGGGTGATGAGATAAGGTGTGGGGAGACCTGTTAGAAGGCTTTGCAATAGTCCAGGTGAGAGATGATGAGTTCTTGAACTTAGGGTATTCATGGGAGACTTGGCGAGGAGCTAGATAAATCAGAGATGTTTTTCAATGTAGAGCCAAAGGACTTGGTGATTGATTAGATGAGGGAGAATAAGAGACTAAGGGATTTATTGGAATGGATTGAGTGGCCAAGAATAAAATGGTGCCATTAATAATTACAGGGAATTTGGAGTGGGGTGGGAGAAATAACACTGCTGGCTTTGGATACGTTGAGCTCGAGATGGCTCTTAGACAGGAGGAAAGGTCTAGCTCCCCACTTCGTTTCCAGAATTGCAGTCTTAGCCTAAAAGAGACAGCTTTGGGCCGGTTTCCTGAGGGGCCCAGTCAGGGATAAAATGCTCCACATCCTTCAAGCTTATAAGCTGGGTATTGAAAACTCCCTGGACCCTTCTTGGTATGAGGAGAAGGGATCCTGGATTACTTTTAAAAATCTGATCCTGGTCTCAGTGGAGCAAACTCTCCTGTCTTTTGTAAGCACCAGACTTTTAAAAAGAAACCATTTCCTGTGGAGCAAGCAGCCTCTGGCCTGACAGGCTCTGGCTCTCAGGTTGATCCCAAGAAGCCCCCATCTCCTCAAGGAGCGGCTCTTCAAACGATGAGCCTGGTTCCATCTGGCGGCTGGAGAGAGCCCAGAGTCTTGAGGACTGGACCCTCTCCCAACCACCACTTCGGGTTAGGTGTTTTCAATGCTGAGACAAGCCCGCATGTAAACCCAATTCTCCCAAATGACGAGGCTAGGATCCTCCCCCACTCAACGCGAATCTCAGCGCTCACCTGGTGCTGGCAGGCCCCAGCACGTGGGCTCGATTAGGGGCCAGACTCTGGGGCCCTTCCAGGGAAGGGGACAACCCAGGAGGTGGGAGGCTGGACCCCCGTCCCCACCGCTCGGGGCAGCCGCAATCTGCCAGGCTGCTACCGCCGATGGCCACACGCAGGGGCACGCCCTGTGTCCCACTCCCATGTTCTTCGGACGGTGTCTGAATCCGTTACCTCTACTCCGCCCCCTTCTCACGCACTACCCCACTGTCTTGCGGATAAATCCCCAGAGCAAAGGGTAGCATGATCCTTCCCGCGCCCCCGAGGGCCCTGAAGCTGGGCACTAAAGCGGTGCAGTCCCAAGCTTCCCCTGCAGAAGCCGCGCTCCTCACTCGGTCCGGAGGTAGAGGGGGCGCGAGAGAGCAAGTGGGCGGGCGTCCCATCCTCCGCATCCTCCTCCAGGTCCTGGCGCGCAGGGTGGGAGCGCTGCGCGGCTCCGCGCTGCGCATCGCGGCCCGCTTGCCGCCTGCCCCCTGCCCTAGCTGGGCCACCTCCCCGGGCTGCCGGTGGAGGGCTACGAGGCGCTAACGTTACGCTGTTTCCGGTTTTCCAGCAGGCTCTGTTTCCCCTCCCAAGGCGGCGGCGGCGGAGCGGCGGAGCCCCCCAAATGGCCTGGCCAGATGCGGCAGGTTTGCTGCTCAGCGCTGCCGCCGCCGCCACTGAAGAAGGCTCGGTGCAGCAGCGACAGCGACAGCAGCAGCAGCAGCAGCGAGAAGAGCAGCAGCAGCAGCAGCAGCGAGAGCAGCAGCAGCAGCAGCAGCAGCAGCAGCCACAGCAGCATCTCCCGTCCCGCTGCGCCCCCAGAGCCGCGGCCGCCGCAACAGCCGCAGCCCCGCAGCCCCGCAGCCCGGAGAGCCGCCGCCCGCTCGCGAGCCGCAGCCGCCGGCGGCATGAGGCGCGACCCGGCCCCCGGCTTTTCCATGCTGCTCTTCGGTGTGTCGCTTGCCTGCTACTCGCCTAGCCTCAAGTCAGTGCAGGACCAGGCGTACAAGGCACCCGTGGTGGTAGAGGGCAAGGTACAGGGTCTGGCCCCGGCCGGCGGCTCCAGCTCCAACAGCACCCGCGAACCGCCCGCCTCGGGTCGGGTGGCGCTGGTGAAGGTGCTGGACAAGTGGCCGCTCCGGAGCGGGGGGCTGCAGCGTGAGCAGGTGATCAGCGTGGGTTCCTGTGCGCCGCTCGAAAGGAACCAGCGCTATATCTTTTTCCTGGAGCCCACGGAGCAGCCCCTAGTCTTTAAGACGGCCTTTGCCCCTCTCGACACTAACGGCAAAAACCTCAAGAAAGAGGTGGGCAAGATCCTGTGCACTGACTGCGGTGAGTCGCCCCCTCCCTCTGCTGGAGAAAGGGGGGAGGGGCGAGGTGCTAGAGAATGGGGGTGGGGCGGGGAGGTGCTGCAGGTGCCCAGGCCTGGCAGTGCCCGGGCGCTGGGGGTGGGGCCGCCCCTGGGCAGGGCGCCTGGCAAGGGTGGGTGAGGGGGTTGAGGTTAGGAAGAAGGAGGATAAGGCTTAAAGTGTGCCAGGGGTGGGGGGCTGGGGGAGGCGCTGGCCTGTGCCAGCAGGAATCTGCGGCTGATGTATGGCATGTGGGGCTGGAAAGCTGCCATCATAGCCCAGTAGCGGCCGGAAAAACGGAGAGGTCCGGGTGGTGCTGGCCCGAGGCTCAGTGAGTCAGGAGTGACCCTCGGAGGCCTTGCCCGCTCTGCTCCCACGGGCCTGCCTCGCCGAGGCTGGCAGGGTCTTGCAGGAGGAGTGGGCAGACTCCCAGGCTGTGAAGGCCTCCACTTACAAGTTCTCCTAGGGAATGATGGCCCCCGCCCCCTCCTTCCTCTCCTGGGCTCCGGGCTCTGCTCATCCACACCGCTGGCGCAGGCAGAGTTAGACTTTTTCTGCTACTGTTTTCCCTTCTCCATGTGGCTCAGGTTTTTTCTCCATCGTGATTTTCTCAGTCGTGATTGCCTGCTAAGTGGGTAGCACAGCCTTCTCTTAACCTCCAGGACTAGGGAGCAGACACTTCTTTGGGCTGTTTCTGGGAGATCTTACTAGGGCTGTGATGGTGATGACGATGAAATAGAGTAACTTCTGCTGATTGCTGTAAGTTCAGCTCTGACATCTTACTGGCAGGATGTGTTGACTGCATCTCTCATCTTCATGATGTTGGGTGCTGCACAGGAATGCAGGTGATGAGAAACAAAACACCAAAATCTATAGATCTGTGCAGCTGGGAATGGAGGTCTCCCATGTCCAAAGTCAAAGGTTTGTTGGTTTAAGAGCTTTTTCTTCCTGTCTCTGAATCCAGTACTTACTTCTCAGGAAGGTATTTCAAACCGAATTGTTCCCATACTGGAGTATTGGGTGTTAGCTTGTCTTGTGCTTGTTCATATTGGGGTTTCATTTTGTCCCAACTAAGGCTGAATTTGGTGCTTGTGGTGTGACTCTGACCTGTGTAATCACTGAATTGTGATAGACGTCCTGGACTGTCATAGATGTTGGCATGTTTACCCAGTTGACTGATTCTGGGTGGTGGAAGGAGGTTTTGAGCAGCAAAGAATGTGGAATAGCTCATAGGAAGTTTTGCTGCCTTGTCTTTAAATCAATGCCTTTGACTTTTGTAAGCTTCCTCACTCCCTCCCCCACACTACCACCATTACCCCTGTCCTTCAAGAGACAAATTTTAGTTTAGTGGTGGGAGTATAGCTAGGCATTGTGTTCAGCTGTGCTCACTTTACTTAAATCAGAGGAATCTTGCAGTGTCTTAGTAAGGGGGAAACATTTGGTGATAATATCAGGTTCCGTCTCTGACATTGTTCTGAGGAATATTGTTGACTGCTCTGTAATGTTGATTTTATGCTCTGAAATGTTTTATGAAGACAAGTTGAGACCAGTTAAGAATTTCTAATTTTTTATTCTGCTAAGTATTTTATCTGAGATCCCTCGGATAACTGTGGAACTGTATTGTGCAGTGGGAAATAGTAAAAACACTTATTGAACCTTGTCCAAGGACAGCTTCTGTTTTGGATTTCGGTGAGTTGCTCCTGGATATGCACAGAGCACACTGCCACATATTCCCTAGCCTGATCCACTGAGGCCCATGGTCATTGTCAGATAACTCCGTATACTAATTGGCTTGTCTGCTCCCAGTCCCCTCCCCCACTCGCCCATCAATTACACCTTGTTTACTTTAGTGTTTAAGAGTGTAATAGTTGAAGGTGGAGGTCAGGAAAGATTCGGGGATCAGAAATATAGTCTGCTGTTAGGTTATGGTCATCTCGTATGATTAAAATAGCATGTGTAGTATAGCTCTCAAAAAGATAAATTTAGGACTGCGATCACTGCTAAAGAGAAGGCCCTCACATATCACAAATGATCAAGGAGCAGAATTGGTGTGGAAGTAAATATTTTAGAAGGCAAAAATATTTGTATTGAATTGACAGTACATAGATATGTATCAGTTTAGGGGGGTTATATAAGGGCAGTAGAAATGAAAGGACATGTTTGTGAGAAGAAACTTGTGGAACTGGTGATAATACTCGTATGACAAGAGCATAAACTGCATTTTCATATTTTCTACTATGTGGTTAAAGAAAACATGCACTGGTAATGGCATATTAAATAAGGAAACAAAATCATCCTAACTAACCACAACACCTTCCTTGTGCTCAGCAGGAAATAACTAACAAATTGATTTTCTGTTTTCTAGCTCTAAAGAAAGCCCTCTGGGCCACAGGGTCATTGGGAACATTTTCTCCTTGGAGCAGATTTGCCCATTGCAAAATAGGGAAACTGGCACTTGGAAAACTGTCATCATGGCCGTTACATTGAGCAACGGTGGTTGAATTGCTACTTTGTTTAGCCAGTTTCAGCTCTGAGTGTGTCCAGGTTCTGAAAGATGTTGGTTCCTAGGAGATGATCTAGAAAGTTGTGTTTGGTACATTGACTTTGGGACAATGTACCATACAGAGGGATAAATTGTGCTTAAAAGTTGACATGCCTCGGGAGCATCAACACAGGGGTCATCCTAGACTCCTTCTAAAAGGTTCTCATAAATGGCTAATTCACCTCAACTGTGAAATGTTGACTTAAAGCCTGTGAAGTTCTCCTAGAAAAGCACTACCTGTCAGAGGGGCGTTTTTATAGATCTAATGTGTATCATTCATCCAAAATGACTACCTCTGGTGGTCAAGAGTTGAGTAAAATCTTTGCATTTCTAAGAAGATTGCATACATGGAGGGGTTTTCTGTGCCTTCTGTGGAAAGGAGAGGGAAAATTGTTAGAAAGGACATTCAGGGAGCAACAACTCTGTTCAATGCTATAAAAGCATCCTGTTCTGCAAATAATCCTGCATTTTTAACGATGGTTGCATATATTTTGGTATAACCACACCCTATCTTGTTGCTTTCCTCTATATATGGTTTTAAGCTGGTTCCTTATTGAATAGACACAATAGATAGTATTTAAAAAGAAAGAAAGAAAGATCATTCTTCCTTTGGGACTTTCTGATTCCAAGTTTTCTTCCAAAGTATAGTGGACTTTGTTGTTAAAAACTGAAAAGGTATATTCCTGGGGGGCTTTTACATTCTTTAGGATTGTTTTAAATTAATTTAGCACCTAGATTCACATATTAGAGGAAGGTGGTTCACAAAATTCAGTATAGCAAAAGCGACTGCATATTTTTAAAATGCTGTTTATTTAAAGAATCTTTTCTTCCCCAGCCAGCTGGAAACCCCAGCTGTGCTGCAGCTTGAAAATGGGAAAGTGAAACTAGATTAGAAACTGACCAGTCCTAGTGGTGAGGACAAGACTTGGTTATAGATTTAGGGGTAGAATTACCATCCTAATATCATTATGTCCTCCAGTGGCTGCTTTCCTCAGCAGACTGCAATTCTTGGGGGCAGGAACCAAATCTTATCTTTGAGGTCTTGTTTCACCTCCCTCTCCTGTCCCCTGAGTTTGATGCTGTGCCTGGCTTATAGTGAAACTCTCATAAGTGTCTTTTGAATGAATGGATGAAGTCAAGTGAAGTTTAAAAAGCAAGTCTTCAGATAAATACTAAAACAATCTTAACTCGATCTGTGACACCAAGTCCTGTGCTCAAAAGCTGAGTTTGATAATAGCCTTTACCTGTGCTGTGGGAACCTTTCTTCCAAAGCAGTCATTATCAGCTGGAGTACTTAACCACAAAGTGCTTAATCATTGTGCTTATTAGTGTTAATGGGATTTGAGCAGTGGAGAATAAAGGTCTTGCCAGAGAAGAAAGACCCTCTTTTTTGGAGGGTACATTACCTACCACTCCCCCAACCCCATGTTTAAACAACAATAAAACAACAATCAGTTTGAATTAACAAACGGTTTGGAAGCTAGAGAGAGTGGTATATATTATTAACTAGGTGTCTAACTTCTTCTTGGTCCCAGTCCTTTTTACCATATTTTATTATTGAGGACATTTTAAATTTATTTTCTAATAGCAAATAAGTCATTAGTTTTTTTCTTTATAAAATTTTACTTAAATTTTTGAATATGTAACATTTATATGGCTCAAAATTCAGAAAGTCCGTAAGACTATAGAAGGTGAAAAGTCTCCCTCTTACCCCTGTCCTCAGCTACCCAGCTCTAAGGCAGTTGTAAAATAACATATTCTTGAAATGTGTATTTCTCTAAAAGCAAAATGTTTTTCAAAATAGTCTTATATATTTTTTCTTAACAGATGGAGAACATTAATTTTGTCATTAAGCTAATCTTATGATAAATTCTTCCCAAGTAATACATATAATTTTTAACCTAACCCAAGACCTTAACCAGTACCCTAACTCACAAACATAACCCTGGGATCAGAAGTGGAAATACCAATGTATGTCTCAGACACTTTGCTATTAGGACGTTTTCCATGACAATGAATTTTGTGAGTGAGTTAATTGGCAGGCTCAAAGGAGAGATCCAAAGGTTTGTCACTGAGCATCGGGGCTGCAGCACAGCCCATATAGCAGTTCCTACTGATTCACACTCTTGCTAATGTCACAATAGCATCCAAGTGGGAAATTACGTGATTCCACATATGGAAAGAGAAAACTCCACAGTACATGATTGCATTGATATTCACTTAGAGCCAAAGACCCCAGTTACTGATGAAGAGGTTGATTTTGACCAAATTCCTGTACAGCTGGTACGATTCCAGGGGGAATTAGCGAATTCTAGTTTGAATACTAGTTTGTATTTGAATATTAGTTTGAAGTACTATGTTTAAGGTAACTGATTTGAACATAGTGTTAAAATGTCAGAGGATCAGGAAACTGTCATTTGGATAAGTAGGGGGGAAACAAA